ATATTTTAAATGTTTTTAAGAGTGAATTTAAAAAAATGTGTTTAACGGGCCACACTTTAAATTATTATCATTGAATTGAGGTTCAATAGTAACTATTAACATTGTGGATTTTTTATTTTACTTCTCTTAGTATGATTCAACATTTATTAACAAAAAAATATGTAAATTGGATTACGCAACATTCTGTAAAGTTTATAGTCCGTCATATTTTCCATAAGAAATAGCATATACCTCGGACCCTTGAGTTTATGCCAAACCCCACCTTGAAATGATACGTACGTACGTAAATCAATAAATCCTTCCTTTATTAAAATTCCAGTCCGCAGATCGAGACCGGAATTGAACACAACAAAAAAACTATCAACTAATTGCCCGCTTGTGGACCAAACCGTCCTAAAGGCGTTTATCGAGCCGAATTGTTGGGACTAACGGCCATTAGCTCCCACAACGACGAAGATTCTGACGAGTTGCGCCGGAGAGGATGCAAAAAGTGTGCCACCATGTCGCGCGATGAAAAATTGCACCGGGAGAATGAACGCTCGGGCTGCGATGCCGGAGATAAATTGAATAATCGTGCGGAAGTATGTGGGCCGAGCTGTATTAGAAGACAAAGGGTCTTGCAGCTCAGCAAAAATTCTGGAATTGGATCGCGTCCGGGCACATACGGGATAAGGTAGATATGTAGAATTGACAGCGGTAAACAAATTTATAGTGAATTTCTAGATGGTGGATGATAAATTCAGTATATTTTTAATGAAGCAAAAGTACAGTTATATTAAACTGATATTGGTCTGGAATTGTTCACGCAAGAAGGACCGCCGATCTTAACAATTGAATGAATTTTGCTTATCTAATTTATGTCTTATTTTGTAAGATATCTTATTTCATAGTACACTTGATCTAACTGTCCATAAGCTTGTATGAATGCTTTTTACAAAACAGCTCACCGGTATAGTTTTTGACAAGCTTTGGACCTAGTGATGTTAAATTACTTGTAATTTATGAAAATGTAATTTTACTGGTAACATTTCATGTAATTTACAAATTAGCTTGTAATTTATGTAATTTATGACATTTAAATTTTACGACATTTTAAAGTGTACTCAGCTTGTTCAGCTTCTCAGTACTCAGCTTCTATAAAACTAGTCCTGCAATTCAATGATTAAAAAATAATATTTGTCGATTTTTATGCAAAAAATTAAAATTTTTATTCATATAAGTAGGTAACATTCATATAAGTGCAGCAGTAAAAATAAAATAAATCAAATCTAAATATAAATATTTAGGTTTCTATTTAAAACAGCTTTCGTTTCTTTAAGCATTTGTTTTTCTGGAACATAGGCCTTTTTTGGTAGAATGTATTACAATTAGCAGTTTTTAATTCTTCGTCGTTTATTTCTGTTTCCTTTTCTACCTCTTTCGTTCTATCTATTTCTGTCAGTTCGGTCTTTGCGTGGTCAACTAAATTTTAGTCAAAATTATGAACGAAAAATGCAACAACGAAAAACAACAAACCTTTCTTTTCAAGTGAAATATTTTGTATAATAATAACAGGCCTTTTTTCATTACATTTTGCCTCAAATTCTTCATTTCTTTCAGTTAATTCCATATTCATATAGCTGTTGACTACATTGACAATTTATTGATGAATTAATTCGTCGCTTCATCAAGAAATTGGACAAGTGTAATGCTTGGTGCATTACACTTGTCGAATTTCTTGTCTACTGTCAAATAACTTCATGAATTTATTCACCAAGTTCTTGACGAATTAGAACATGCTCTAATTTTCGTCAATTTCTTCGTGAAGTTCAGAAGTACTAACAGATTTCCTGCCTCAGATCAGTAATGAGGTTATGTTATTGGAATATGTAAATAATTGTGAGGCGTCGTACTAGTTTTGCATTGTTTTAACTGATTTGTTACTTGTTACTAATGTTTATATTATATGTCAAAACGGTACCGCTGTTGTGTCACTACAATTATGAGTGGAAAGGTGACATTTTTGAAGTTTATTTGCTTCTTTGATTTGTTGGTAGAAAACTGATTTATGCGTCAAAAAACTTGACAAAGGCTGTAGCAGTGTAAAACCATATTGTTTACCAATGAATTCGTGATTTAATTCAAGAAGAATTTCGTTAATTTATTTATGAATCACCTCACTATCACCATACTCTTCAGAATGAATGCTAATATTGCTAAAATAAAAGAAAGGTTATAAAACCTTAAATGTCAAAATTGAAATTGGCGCGATATTTAAAATTAAGTGTAAAATAACATTAAATACAGTAAATTACGTAATTTACGTAAGTTACAAAAATTACATAAATTACATAAATTACATCCGTTATCTTGCGGTGCGTAATATTACGGTAATTTTACAGTAATTTATGTAAGTAACTATTTGTCATTTTACCATTTACATCACTATTTGGACCGCACCAATTTCTTCTTCAAATAGTCTTCGAAAGAACCAAATAACGAGTTTGAACACCTCAAATTACCAGCAATAATTCCTGTTATTAATGACTTCTTTCGAATTTATAATTCATTAAAATGAGTTAACACAAGAAAGCCGAACAATAACTACGAGTAGTACCTGAATATTTTGGAGAGAGATTTGTAAAGGCACGGACTTACATGGAAAAAACAAGCAAATAAATAAAAGTTTGGAAGTTCTGGATCAACAAAAGAAACAAAGATGGAGTAAAAAAATCGTGGAAGTGACTAACAACATTGAAACTTTAAAGATAAGGCCAACACATTTCTTGATGAGTTGTAAGTAATAGGACCTGCACTACCACAGGTGCAGATCAAATTTAAATCTCCAGTACCTGCATAACCATGACATAATACGTGACAAACAAGTAAATTCGACCTGAAATAACCTCGTAAATCTCTCTTTTACCCCCCCCCCCCCAATCTCCGGAGAATCATTATTGCTGTGTTAAGCAACCTCTTATAAAGGACGGTGTGCATTGCACAAATCCCATCCGATATTTTATTTCCATTGCGGCTGTTAGCGCTTCGTTTAAAATGTAAATATATATGGGGGTCTGGAGCTGAGTGAAGGAGAATCGTGTAAGCAAATAATATATCACAACGCAGAGCGTTTGCCTACCAAATAGATTTATACGGGTAAATTTTGCGTGGAGATAACGAACAGGGCACTAGTCCGTGCTGTATCTTGCTGTTCGCAAGTTGCGGCTGCGGCGTTGCTGATCTATTATGCAGCTGCTGGAGGTCTTCCGGCTTCTTTGTGATATTTCGAGCCATTGTGAGCTCATTCGGTCGCGCCTTATCTGCGGCCCCGGGTTGTATCAGCGACTGCAGGCGAAATTAAATAACTTAGGCACGATTTTCAGGAATTTGTTGTTTTATAGTAGCAATAACATATACGGAGAGATCCAGAATAATTGCCTGTGCCGCTCCGTATTGATTTTTTTGTTCCACTCACCTGTTTGTGGTATCCGCCCTAAAATCATAAACGCAGACAAGAGCTGGTGAGAATTTTGATTTCTGACAGTGACAACTTATTTAGGTTGTGATGATAGAAATCATACAGTTAAATAGGGATAAAGTACGTAAATTGTTGTCTCATAGATGTCTTTCATGTGATAACAACAAAATCGTAAGAAAAGGACAATGATAAAAGTCTACATCTATAACCTTTTTACATAAACACTAAAATGAAATAAAGTCAATTAGAAATCTTATGCTGAATTAATAATTGAAATTGAATTAATAAATTTTTTTATTTGTAAACTTATTTAAAGCCTAAAGAGGAAATGGACAAAACTTGTTTCGCAATTTCTTTATTCGGCGTCTGCTGCCACTGGATCGAAGCGTAAAGAAAAACCTCCATAGAAATTGCAGTTTGATGATTTATAGTTCCTGTGCACACAACCCATATAAAGAGAGATTACTTCAATTCTTCAATATGGCCTGAATATATGATAACTATGATTGATGACCGTTTGATGCCACAGGTGCATACAAAAGAGCAGCTTCAAGGATACTCAAAGGATTCTCTATTACTCTTCACTAGCGTCCTTACAATTACTATTGTAGACCTGATGAAAATATTGTTAAGGCGTTCTTATATTGTAAAAGACTTCTGGGGACGTTTTAAACTTTTTATTTATAATTTTGCTGTTAGCGACACATCTATTGGGTGTGGCTGATGAATTTTTCATGAGTTAGTCATTTGCCTTAACCAAATTCACATATTTAGGTAAATTAGTGTAAAGAAAATTGAAAAAATGTAAAAATCAGTCTGAATGTGATATGATACCCTCAGAATATTTCGATATACTTCTCTAGATTCAAAAATTACATCCTCTCTTTAAATTTATTAACGAAGATATCCTTCCCTAAAAATGTATATAATTTCTCTTGGATTTTCTGTCCGAATTTCTTCGATTCTTTGAGCTAACTAATTGACTATATATCATTTGAAATATACCAACTGTTGTTCAATAGCCTTTGGTACATTCCAAATGAAATTGTTTTCGATGGAAATTAAACCGAAATAACGAAATTAAGCAATCAATTACCGTTGTTATTCTATTTAATTTTCTCATTGTTAGTTTAATTTTGCTGTTTACAAATTTCTGTGGTTTACATTTTCCCATAATTAGTTCCCATATAGTCAATTAGAACTTGTTTACCCAATATTTAACTAGAATGTGCGCTGAAACCAATATCTGCAGTTCCGTAAACCTGAGTTATAGCAATATGAACTATGGATCAAGAGTTAATTACAATATATTGGTGAATCCGTCCACAGTACTTGGTATGTCATCCTTATTTATAGCAGGACTATATTTGTTAACTTTAAAAAGTTGAGTTAATATTTGTTTCAAATTTACCTCCAGACAAAGGTATAGATGTATTTATGAAGAAGAACAAAAAGTGGTACCTATAGATAATTTTGAGACCGAAATATGATAATTGGTGTTTTTAGGCTACAAGTTTTAAATTCATTTTTTTTTTCAGATGTATTGGTGATGAAGTGGGACATGCGACTATTGATAGTTCTTCTGTTCATGAAATTCACAAATCCGCTGCCAGATACAATACCAATAGGTATGTGCCTAACATATTATAGAAATTTATAGTTTAAAAAACATTGCTAATAACTTTTAACTAATGATATTGTGAAAAACAAATACTCTGCGGATTACATATCCAGCTCAACAGTATGCCATGGGATAACCTACAAAGTATATGTCATATGTTGAACGTCATTACTACTCAAAACATTGCTTTGATAGAGAATGACATACTAATCTGTAGGTACATACTATGAAATCATAATTAGTCACACAAGGGGAATTAAACTTTTTAACAAAATATATTGTGACAACTACTCCACGAACTACATACTCTGTCCACCATTGAATTAGCCCCATTATCTAAGCAACAACAGCTAAAATCTTCCGTCAGCAGAATCACCAGACCTACGCCAGTTTTAAAAAAGTTTATTAGCCTAGTGCCTAGTGTGACACTAATCATGCTTTTATTAATAAACTACTAAGTCAGCCTCAGTCATTAGGTAGTGAGTAGGAAAGAAGACATTTTTAAGGTATGACATATGTACTTGTAGATTGTATTAATTCTTAGTCATATGCTATTTAATGATTTATGAAGGTACTGCAAAAATTCAGCTACGTATACCAATTATTTCATTTCTAAATGAAACAAGAAAGAAAAAATTACATTTTTTCATATGTTCTCGTTCTCTAAAACCGTGTATAACGAGCAACTTTTTTTTAGACTGTTTGCATTAATAACTACGCCGGACTTCGCGTATTTCGAGCAGAATAATATAACCGGAACCATCAGTGCCGTTCGCTTAACACGGTCATTTTAGAAAACCCTATTTTTTTGTTTCGTTAAATTATTAAGTTGCTTCCTAAATTGCAAGGATCTCCCAGAGTTCACTAATTAAAAAATTGCGTTGCTCTAATAAAGCCGAACACTTTACAGACCCGAAATTAATTAAAGTCGTAACAAGTGTTGTGCATTGATCGCTTTTTTTATGCCCAGGGGCGTACAAGCGGACGAATACTTTTTAATTATTACAGTTTTCAGGCCAATTGAATTAAATTCGTTTGGCAAAATATCTTTCTGGTGTTATTCGCAGGGGATCTCTCCATCGTGGAGGGTTTCCAGGGGCCTCTTAATGACCAATCGCCTTTTGTGAGAATTTAAAAAATATATTTCGTGAAATTGATTGTAAAGGACGTCCAGAAATGAAAGGTCATTCTTCAAAAGTAGCATTTTTGGTGAAAATAACAACATAAATGGAAACTTGTTACTTTGCTTCAAACAGTTAAAATGTATTTCTACATCCTTCTAGGCGACGTCTTTTGAATAAGGTTAAAATGATATAAATCGATAACAAACAGTTTAATAGAGGCACAAATTTGGTAAAATCAAATTTGAACCCCCCAAACAACTCTCGGCTCTTCATTACTGTTAAATGCACTAAACAATTTAAATTAATTACTTTTTTAAGGAACATTGTACTAAAGTAACTTTATTTTTATCCAAGGGTACCCTTGAAGTACAACCCATTCATTCCTGAACAACCTATACCTATCAATTTTAGTTTAGTTTAGTTAATAATAGTAGACAGGACTAGAATATTTATGAAATCAACAAATTAATATATCCGTAATATCTGGCATAAATTCTAAACATAAACCCACGTATCGTTTCCGGTACATTATGTTAATAAAAAGTTTCACCAAAGTTTCGTTCCTTACTTACCGCCCTGATGTATCGCACGGAGTAAGAGAATCACAAGAACGCTAGATCTGAGTGAGCGAGCGATCGGAAGGGAAATTTACAACCCATTTCACATGCAACCCCTCCGCCCGCCCACCTCCTTCGCCCATCGACGCAATGGAAACAAATAAATTCGCCTGATGTGTATTTATTGTTATAGATAACTTTATTTCGTATGTGGCTTCTGGTAAATTGCAGCACATTTCGCACAAAGCCGGGAACAAAGAACACTTCTCGGCGAGGAAAACGTATACGGTTCTCAGATGGCTAGATTAGAATGTAATTGAAATTTAATTTCCTGCAGATTTTCCATCCTGAGCTATTATAGTTTCTCATTTCTACAGGTATGTAGAAATGACTTAGCTTTATATTTTATTGTTCGATGTTTGAAGTACGTTTGTGTAACTAAATGATAAATTCAGATAAATTAATTGTAACTACCATACAAGGATCAGTAAAAAGTTATGCATTTCTATCCTGATACAGGATGGAATAGATCTTTATAAATTATAACAAACATATCACATTTATGTTCAAGTTTATAGGAATAGAAACTTATAATCGTATTTGTACTGACATTATGTTGCTTCATTGAAAGCTGTACTCTAGTAAATTGAGCAATCTCTTGAGTTATTGGACAAATACTTCACAAATTGGAAACATCTTGAAAGTTTCTCTCTATTTTTTTTCAGTTAAGTTCTAATGTCACTTCAGAGAATGTAATAAACTTTGACGAAACCAATTTGTCGCTGACAAAGTTATAATTTTATTCTTCGCATATTACCTTTTTGCCGCCTGTTTCAAATATACCTATATAATTTCTGATTAAATTAATTTTCAGCAAAATCTCCATAAAAATATTTAATTGTTATTTGTTCACGTATTTACAATTCAGTAGTCCGTGTCTAATTTTCATTTTATGAACTTTACCAGAATTCAATACATTTTAATTCAATGCAGATTCATTGGTCTTACTAGTATGGAAGGTTTTAATCAAATCATATTTTTATTGTGGAAGCGCAGGAAATTTTGTGTATCTTCATATTGCATCTAACTGCAGCAGCAACAAATACGATTTAAACTAATTTAATAAACACTTCTACATGGTGATACAATGTACTGTTTATTTGTTTGTGTCTACAAATTAAATTAATTTAACAAGTGGTAAATTCGATAGTTTAATTCAGCTATGATCTTCATATATATCAAAAATGATTTAGGTAGTTTCTTCAGTTTTAACACTACTTGTATATTGCGATAAAAACAACTACCCTTAATAACTCTTACATTTTCTTTGAAACGACTTATTTAAATCCTACGGTAGTAAATTTCAAGTCACATTTTAGAAATGCAATGTTTATTAAACAGTACTGTTTATAGAAACTATAAAACTTTAAACTCAGCACTATCCCAGTGGTAACAACAAGAGTCTTACGTTTATGTAAGCGTTCGCAGTAATACCAACTAGAATCGTAAAATTCCTAAGAAACAAGTTGGCTAAGTACAGTAAATGCTTTCAGAGGTAATGATAAAACTGCAATATGCGAAATATCCTAAAGACCCTAATTAGATCGATATTTAGTTACTTGTGTGGTGGAAGGGGTGCTACAGTACTTCTAATAATATTGTTAACATAACAAATTAAGTTCTAACGATATGTCAATCACATTTAATACTTTTACCGGCGTTCAGACTTACAAATCGTACCTGATAAACATCGCTCAACTGTAGTTTCCTCAGAGATAAATATAAACTGCATCGAACTTTTGCAATATTTCATTCTGGAACCAATACCATTTAGGAAGTAGCCCCTTGGATATAAATAAGCAGCCATTACTCCAAAACTAAACTCATCGTGGCTCGCAGTTAACGAGCATCTCGTTAGATGTAGAATAGTTTGAGATTTGGGAGTCATCTCCGCGTTACAGAATCTTCACAGAAATTGCTTTCCAAATATACAGAGGTACATATATATTATAGTTAATCATTAAACTTAAAAACGTTTGTCCATAACTGACGTATTACCATGTTATATTCATAAAGCACCAGATCGTTGGGATCATTGAATTCAAATGTTGGAATACACTTTGAAACATCAATATGATGGTTCAGAACAACTACTACTGTAAAAAATTGTCATTTTTGACACGATAATAGATAAACTAAGTGTATGAATTGTTTTTAGCAAGTATCGTACCTTTTACTTCGTACCTCAATGGTTCTGTCAACTGAAATTAATAAATCTTTTTCTCTAATTATAATTTCGAACGGTTTTTTATGTCCAGAATCATCCTTGTCTGCTAACAAGCTAAAATAATACTCCATAATTAATAATCCCATTGTTTACTACATCTGCTAAGATTCGTTAAGAAGACAGGACTGTTCTGCAAATAAATTCGCGACGTTTAATTAAAATCGTACCAAAGCCATAAGGTTCAGTTTTTATGTCTCATAAATTTTAATTACTTCAAGGACTGGAAGATTAATATGAAATATATACCTAACGGTACAGACGTAGAACATGAGCGAAATAAGCAAATACAGCCTTTGAAATTCGTTTAAATATAGATCGATCAATTGAAGCTTGAGGGATTATTTGGTACGTATTCAAAGTATATAAATTGATATACGAAACGTGCATTGAAAAGTATTCTTTACCTAGGAGAGCAGAGAAATGCGAGGTATGGATTGAAAAATATCTTTTATTCAAATTTTTGTGCATTCTACACAAACTATTCATGCAATGTATACGTATACCGTGCAACGTGACTAAAATTTCAAATTCTATTGAGTAAATAAATGTAAATAATATTATCTTACTCTATTTTATTTAAGCATGTATTTTAGTGTACATCATGATGAATATTAAAGGAATGTGGATAAGAAATATAGATTCATTACGTTTTTATGTGTAATTGTACGTCTTTGAAACAAATAAGTGTGGGCAGTTTTACTGAAAATTTTACACCTGTCATTTTAAGCCAATCACATACTGTAATTTCGACAGTTGCCCATGGCAACTTTCAAATTTTTCGGAAATTTTTTTCCTCCTGCCAAGCTAGGCAAACAAAATTAATAAATGGAATTTTTTTTTTGACAGCTATCATATGGTTCAAAAATCAGTATCTATTCAGAATTTTGCTTTGTAATGTTTCTATTTATTTTAAAATAATAAATAGATAGGTACAAATAATTATTTACCAAATATTTGTTCGGAGATTTCTTCCATTAAAGCTAAATGTTTTTGAAATTCTGGCTGGAACTCTTCTCTTCGCAACGGAGACTAACGACGA